GCGGTTCACAAATTTGCAGAATCAACTTCAAGCTCACACGAATGACTTTAACTCATTCGCAACAGCAGTGATGGGTCGGTTTGATGGCATGGTTGAATCTGCTACAGATCAACACCGTGCTCTCACTACCAGTTTTAACACTCTTAATCGAGTTGTCCTAGAGTATACGGAACGGATAGATGAGAAATAACTTCCTCCACCTCATGACTATCCATTTCGCGGAAAGGGACCATCACTTTAGGCGGAGGAGGCCTTGAGGTCTTGAGAATATCATTGTGCACGTCATACCATCTAATGTTCATCAACTTCTAGTGGGGATTTCTTTTTGTGATTGCTTGTTTTTTTATTAAGACGTGATTCATTGTTGTTATATAGCATATATTTTTGTTCATTTGAGTGTCTTTCTATTTATCCGTTTATATGTCTTCATTGACTTCATTATATGTGGATGTTTGTTGATGACTATCCTGCTGCAAATTTGTTGAATTTGCTTATCTCTTTATAATATGCATTACATTGACCTCTATCTTCTTTCTTTTTGATGTTGTCAAAGGGGGAGAAGAATACCAAGCAAAAACAAATCACTTTTGTAAGACTAATCAAACGTGCAGATCGCGTCTAGATAAATGCATCGAGTAAGGGGAAGGATGATACAGCGCATTGTACTCAACCAAGTTTCTATTGTTTTGCCATCATCAAAAAGGGGGAGTATGTGAGAGAAAAGTTCCTCATACTTAGCTATACTTATTTAATGATGTCAAGACATACATAGTTAGAAAAATGTACTTTGGACAGCATCATCGAGTCGCATATGCATACTTTATCTCTCTTGCGTCAAACATTGGTCAAAACATATCTAGGTACATATAGAAAAAGCATCATGTGTGTTTCATATACATTTGATCATGTTGGTCAAGTTATAGATGCATTAGGATCTCTTAAAAGTAGCTAAATATATGAAAAACTGCAGTTTTGTAAGTTCTGAGTCTTTGAGTCGACTCATGGCTTACTTAGGTCGACTCATACAAAAGTCACTTTTCATGTGTTGCTCTCAGGAGAGCTCGCATCGACCCTCCGGTCGACTCATACTGTGTGCATTTTTTATTGTCTAAATTAGGGTCCTTTGCGTCGATGCATGGACCTGTTCTGGTCGACGCAAAGTGATGTTTTCTGCATAATCCTGAAATCGAGAGAGTTCAGGTCGACCTTCCCCTTGTTATAGGTCGACTGCTTGCGCGTTTTTCACAGAATTTCAGTTATGTGTAACATTCGAAGTGTCTGTTATGTTGGTTAATTGATTTCAACCTTGCATATATATTGAGTTAGTTTATTCTACACAATATAACAAGAAAAGTGAAAATATACACTGATTTAATTCTCATCATCTTCATCCTCTTTCTTGCATTTTCTCAACAATTACACATAATCATTTTTGTTGTGTATTCTGCATCATCGAGGTGATAACGTTCAAACTTAGGATTGGTGTATCAGGTTTGGGTTGAGAAATCAGTGGGTTTTTCTTGAATAAAACCTTGAGGTTTTCTCACATCTTTGGTTATTTCCATGGATCATTAATCAAACATCACATAGGTTGTCAAGATTATTTACTCATTCAATGTTATCATTTACCCTAGGTGAAATGAAAGTTAAATTAGTTCTTTTAACATCAAAACAATATACACAAGCATAGTACAAGAATACACACTTAATTCAGAAACTATGGTTGAGAAATTGTGAGGAAAATGAGGAACTAAGGGCGGGCTACGACCAGGCAGTAGCAGGCGCTACGACCCGTAGCTAAGCCCATGCCTTCTCATATACAAAAATATAGAGGCGGGCTACTATGAGCCCGTAGCCTAGCCCAGAAACATGAATTTTTTGCATTTTCACATGATTCAACCATGTAATCCCATCCATTTTCATCAAGCGCATCCAAAACTCGCAGAAATTAGAGAACACGCCCATATTGCAAGTAAATCATATTCAGACATGTTCAAACACATAAGTTCATCAAGGATTCAAGTAAAATATGCATCAAACATGAGATTAAACTCCAACCCCCCAACATGCAAGGAACCCTATGGTGTTCTATCCCAATCAAACATAGATGAAAAACCTATATCTTATAAGAAAACCTAAAATGAAGAAGATGGGATGATGATGATATTGATGATTTCTTAAAATTCAACCTCTCAAATCTTAATTCACCTTCAAGAGTCCAAAAATTCCAACTTTCAAGTAAGCTTCCTCAAAATTGACCAAGCAATTCTTCTTCTTCTCTCTCTCTCTCTCTCTCTCTCTCTCTCTCTCTCTCTCTCTCTCTCTCTCTCTCTCTCTCTCTCTCTCTCTCTCTCTCTCTCTCTAGGTGAAATTACCAAATAACCCTTGCCCAATCAATTTAACTACTAACTATGCCACCTTATGACATTATAGAATAAAGAAATCTAGAAGCTTAATTAATATTTCTCTTAAATATCTACTATCCATAATTAAGGCAAATGAAGGCTATGAGATTTTTCATTTTGTAGTGTTTTTCACCCAGACAGACTCACCATTAAATATTTCTAGATGGGATTTGAGGGGTTTGTCCTTCTCCTGTCTAATTAACCCTTGGCTTTCCACTGATTTTGATTGTTTCCTAGACGCAGTGAAGTGGACCATTAAATTTTTGCATAGCTTATTCCATGAATCAGTGGTTTAAACCCTTAAAGCTCTAAATTAAGTCATAACACTCACTTTTAGAGTGATGAAAAACATCTTGCACTTTTCTGTAATACTTGCCCCATAAAAATTAAAAAGCACATTCACGATCTCGATATGATCATATGGTCTATCGTTTCATCCCTGGTCACGAGAAGGAGGGTGAAGGCAACGAGCCTATACGACATCTTGTATAGTGTCGACTATGACAATGGGTTTTGATATGGGACTATCTTTGCAGAGTCCGGGACCATGATCTGTGTCTCTAGTGGTATCCTCGATAGTGGAAAGATTATGCTTGTTTTCATTATAAAATGATACAGAATCATTATTTACCCACATCGGCTCTCAGCCGGCTCTTTGTTGTGTTGGATGCTCCTTAGGACCAAAATCAATTGTGTCAATCCATATCAGCCTCTCTTTTTGTTGCTCTATCGCTGTCAATTATTTATGAACAACGAGTAACAAACATCACAGTAAAATAATTGTTTCTTCATTGGAAACATGGTAGGAGAGAGTTGATGATGGCATGTTATCAATATTCAATGGTTTTTTTAGGAGATATTAGCGAAACATCCTTAAGAATTATAGTAACGGTTGGCGACGGAGGTGAGGGAATGAATGTTCCAGTGGAGAAGATGATGTTGTTTTCACATCCAAAGGTTCTTGAGCAATTTTGAAAATCCCATTGGTTATAGATTAACATGTCCTGGTCGCAGATGTTGTTGCTGTTTTTCTCCCTTTATTCCCCATTAGACCTCTTAAGTGAGATTGTGGACTTGTTACAATTCCCGCATACAACCGCAAAATGATCTTGCATGGGCTTTCTCGTTTAAAAATAGGGTGTGAACTGATATCTGATGGTGAATTATGTCGAAGGTCTTGATGTCTTTACATTTCAGTATGTTGGCAGAAGGGGTGGAGTACTTGCAAACACTCTGACACCTAAATCACCTAAATCGGTGATGACCAAAAGTGAGAGGTAATTAGGGTTAGAATAATGTGTCTCTTGATGTGACTCCTTCATTAAGATTTTATAGTAAAATTATAGGTTTTCAAAGGATCTAGAATCTTCTGCTTTAGACAAGTGTACGAGGATTCTTTAGTATATGATTTGATTGTTATGTATCTTTTAGCTGTCTTGATCAGGTGTTCTTTTAGGGTGTTCATTGATAGATATATTTAATGTAAATGTGCGTTTTATATTAAAGTTTTCAAAATATTTTAAAGGAGGTTTGCCAGTTTACCCATTTGCAATTAATTTGTCTAAATTGAAAGTAGAGAATCGAATCTACGGTTTATTGTAAATACATGCTTTAAAATTTATTTTATATAACTTTTATCATTGTTTATTTTTTAGTGAAGACCCTAAACACAAAATACAAGATATAACAATTATATAAATGATATTAGATCAAATATAGACTAAATAATATCAACTTGTGTATACTAAAAATTAGCATTACAAAATTATAAGTATCAATTATATATTGTAACCAAAAAATAAGTATCAAATAATATAAAATAGTAAACAAATTATTTACATGTAAGAAGTTTTGCATTGTGTTCCGTTAGTCAAATTTAGGGTAAGATGAATTCAAAATAGTAGAATGTGTGACAAGCAGAACTTAAGACAGTTGAAGTCAATATAGCCAAATTTTTCTCAAATGCAAAGGAATTTAAGCTAGTAGTAGATATGCCAGTAAAAGATCAAATTCACTGCAAATGGACAATCTGACCTCAACCTTAACTTCTTATCTACTGGTTTTATGCACAGAAAATCTAAAGTTTTTCCCTGTTCCGGAAATTTACTAAGAAACAATAAAACCACAAATCAGTTTTAACTCAAAACTGGAGAAAATCTGGAGGAAAAACATGTTGAAGATGGAAAATTGGAAACTAGAATCACAAACCTTTACCTGTGGAGAATCTGAAAGAAGAATATCGACACAGGGAGTGGAAGAGGAATGAAAAAGAATGATGAGGCATGTAGATGAGAGATGAGATCGCATAATAAACAAGAGAAAGAGATAGTGTTATCAACACACAAGAAGCTAAACACAAATCGATGTTACATTACAAAATATAGTTACAAACATAAGCATTCTAAAGTCTTGAAAAAAATGAAAAGCTTTAGCTTCCAACACATTCCAAATAAATAAAAGTAAACTTTGTACTATTACAAAAAAAAAAAAAAAGTTTTCATGGATCCATGATAACTGAAAATCAATAAATTTCACAAGAAGCAAGAATAGATTAATTCCACAACAAATACTGGTTGACAATACAGGAATACGTCTTCATTTGTGGGGAAGTTTAACGATTTTTTGTAGAACCACCGTCCTTGCCCTTATAATGTCACGGCTACATGTATCAGCTTGAGCTCCTAAATCTTCGACATTCTTCATAAAAACTCCCAACTTCTTCTTGATTTCCTCTATTGCAACCTTTACGGCTTCTTCTTCCTCAATGGCGAAATCCACATTCGTCTTTAAGGATTCGATCTCAACTTCAAGTCGATTCACTAGAATCCGTATATTGTCCAAATCCTTTATAGCTACATAGGATCCAACTTCCAATGCGATAGTAACTTCTTTATGTCCTTTCAATGCATTTTCATAGTTCTTCATCAAGGAATCAATCCACTTTCCCATTGAACCGACTGGGATAGCAGTAAGAGCGGCTAGAGCAGCCGCGATGTGGGGAGAAGCAACAGCTGCCGCTACAACCGAGCAGATCAACACAGCAGCAACAGTGGCAACAAATATGATAAGCGAGACCTTCTTCCAAGTACGAATTTGTTTCAGTTTCTTATCAAGCTTCCCTTTTCTGAGTTGCAACTTCTCAAGCATGAGTACTTGTTGATTATAAACAGATTGATATATTTGGAAGAACTCTTCTGTGAAAGGATCACCGATAGCCTTAAAATTCTTCAGCTCCTCTAGCGTCCTCGCATAGCAATTGTCTCCTGAAACAGATTCTTCTTCAAACTTTTGAAGAGCTAGATGAATAAGCAATTGACTATCCCTAGCTCTCTTTAGGCACTTGTCTAAAGCATTGCAGAAATCTAGAGTCTTCAAGCTATTATCGAAATACTCCTCAACAAGCTCAAACAGTTCTTGACTCTGCCATATATCTTTCTTACAGTCTAAGATTACCTTGACAACTTCCTGATTCATCTCAAGAAGACATTCCGTGACTTGTCTGAGTGAATCAAACGAAAGGGATCGAACTTCAACTCCAACTGCAAGAGTATTGATGACCTGATTCGTTCGAGCTTGAAGGTTAGTGTCAAATGACTGCAAATCTGAGTCAAGCTTGCAGGCAGCTTCATATGACCTCAGTTCAGTTACCATATCAGCATTAAGGTTGATATTAGACGGAGTTCCAGGGGTCTTCTTACTCATACGCCCCCCCATTGCTGTAAATTAAATAACCTGATTACAACATAAAACAAAAAAAAAAGCATAATCAGTTTCAAATTAGAACCACTTTGAGCACCACGAATCCTAACTAAACCAATCTTTGGCCAGTTTTACTTAGCTACCAGCTGAACAACAAGTTACCAGGGCCTCTTTCCCCGAAAGCCGGAGGATTAAAAAAAATTCACTTTTCGAGGAATGAAAAAATGGTTTTAAATTGCAGTCCACAACCGCAAACAATGTTACTAATGTGTTAGTCTCCGTAACTGCATCGAACCACAATTATGGTGTGATTTGAAATTAAGCGTCTTTCCAACATTTGGAACCGCTTCAGACAACTTCGCCCATCTTTCTTCAAGTACTTTTGTCGAAACTCAATTTAGAAACCTAAAACTCAATTTACATCTAAAAAACTTTAACATTAAGTGTTTTTAACGGTGTATTTCAAACTCTTCTCAACCAAAATTTACACTGCAAAGGCCGAATTGGGCATCGCAACAATGGCAATGACCGCAATCGCGCCAATCGCAACCGCAATTAAAAACTAGGAATGGAAACTACAAGTGAAAGCTGAAATTATGATTATTTATTAGTGCAATTAACAAATAGATGAACTTGATAGGCAGTATATAAATCTAATAGCATAAATACAATCTATTCAACAAATCAATGGACTCAATTGCTATTTGCACACATTTGCAAAAAAAAAAAAAGCAAATTAATTGTCATAAATAAAGAAGAAGAAACCCTATTTAATGAAATTGATGAACAATTGAAATGCAGCAGACCCAGATAGAGATTTGAGCAAAGTTAATACCTTTGAAAGCTTAGTGAAGAAGAAAACGAGTCCCAGAGAAAAAAAAGAGAAATGCTGAAAGTAAGAATCGATTTTGTTAGTATTTAGTAAAAAGAGGAAAGTAAGAGAAATAGAAAGTGAGAATCGATTTTGTTACTTGCGAGTTACGAAGAAATGTAGTTGGTGATTTATGAATCAATGACTTGTACGCACGAACAAATAAATAAATAATGGTTAAGGGTTTTGCGGGAAGCAATGCACCTTGTTTCTTAAGCTGAAGTTAATTTTGTGAGAGTGCAGAGTTTAACGCGCAAAACACTGGTTAATAGCCCGAGTAAAGGGTGAAGGGTCCACGATGGTAGATTAAGCTCGAACATTTAGCAGTTTAGCACATGTTGATGCTTCCACTTTAGGACTTTTGAGTTTTTACAACAAAAATAATGTATTTAGTTTATTTGTTTGACAAGTTTCAACCCAAAAAGGACACTAGTCTCTTTGCTTTGTTACTTTTTCTCAAAAATTACTATTCATTAATATCATTAAATACACGGTTGAATTTATTTAATTTATCATTTATAAAATATTTTTTGAGAACTAGTGGGGGTTGACAATAAGTCTTCGCATGTATTTTACTTCTAATCTTATGTGTTTTTATTGTTGGAATTAATTCAAAATTTTGAGAATTTTGAATCAATTTTGATAAATAAGATTCAATTAATCGACCAAAATTCCTCGTTCTTCACTCTTCACTTAAGTGAAACAATCACATCTTGATTATAAGAATGATTCTACACAGCAATTGTTAATGGAAGAAGAAAGAAAATTGAATAAAAAAAGATTAAGATTTGACAAAATATAGAAGATGATGATGATTTCTGCAGAGTAACTCTCTGCTCACAAACTGTGAAAAATCTTATTCATGTTGCAACTGCAAAATTATGTGAATTCAAGTTGTTATAAGAATGGGGTTACTCCATATATTTATAGTTTTAGGTTAGTTTGCTCCCTAAGACAAAGACCAAAATTACAAAAGTTCAAAATTTCTATTTTAGTTTAAGTCGAAATCACGTGTTAAGCAACCTGCTTCGACACTTCGACATCTAACACAACTCTACACACACTACACTAGGCTAATTTCGACACATCCTTGTTTCTGTCGAGCTATGACTGCTTCGACACAAGGAATTACATTTCAATACACCACCTAATTCATTGTGTATAAGCTATATATATTCATCATACACCTTAGCTTCTTGTAGACTTTGAATTGCACTTCTTTCGTCATCATATCTGCAATCTAATTCTCAGTTCTGCAGTGTTTCAAGTTCATCTTCCCTTCAGTTATCTTCTCTCAAAGATAATGGAACCTCATATCGATGTGCTTTATGTTAACAAACCAATCTTTCATTCCATTCATATGTGATGAGCATCCTGAGTCTAAGTATCATTGATCCTGGAATCTTTCTTTATCTCTTGTTGTGACCATCAGAAACATCTTTTCTTCTTCATGTTTCGCCAGCTTTGCATCAGTTTCTTGATTCTTCTTCTTTTCTGAACAATCACTAGAATAATGACCATACTTCTGAAAATTGTAACACTGAATGTGACTTTTGTCAGGTTTTCGACCACCACCCATTCCTCTACCTGCAGCACCACCTCTTTGGTTGTCTTGATTCCAAGGTTTTCTCTGATTCGACCAGTTTCCTTCTTACTAATTTCGACCAGTCGAGCTGTTGTAACCTCCTCTATCTTTGTTGCCATTCCAACTTTCTTTGCCTTTCTTTTCTTTTACTGACTGTGTCTGCAAAGTCATATCACTCTTTGACTTGCATGCATCTCTTTTAGCCATCATTTGTTCATGAGATTCAAGCGTTCCTTGAAGCTCTTCTTTTTTTCAATGTTGACAAATCTTTCAATTCTTCTATGGCTACTACCACGTGGTCGAACTTTGGAGCCAATGACCTCAAGATCTTTGCAACAACTGATCTTGATGTCAACATTTCTCCACATACTTTGATTTGATTCACCAATTTAGTAACTCTAGTGAAGAAATCAATTATGTTTTCACTTTCTTCCATCTGAAGCAATTCATACGTCCTTTTGTGAGTTTGTAATCTCACCTCTTTCACCTTTTCTGTGCCTCCAAACGATTTCTTTAGAATTTCCCATGCTTCTTTCACTGATTCTACATCACCAACCTTTTTAAAATTATCTGGATCAACACATTGATAAATTATAAAGAGAGCTTTATAATCTTTCTTCGTCAATTCTCTGTATGCAGCCTTTTCTTGATCTGTCGCGTTCTCTACAAGCGGTGTTATTCCTTCCTTCATAAGATTCCAAAGATCTTGATAACAGAAAACTACCTTCATCTGTTTTCACCAATTCTCATGATTATTGTTCTTGAGAATCGGAAGACTCGTCGAAAAATGCCTATTTGGATGATTCATCACCATCGTGATTTTCTTTCCACGAATCGCTCAGTCAGTGCTCTAGACACCAGATGTTGGAATTAACCCAAGACTTTGAGAATTCCGAATCAATCTTGATGAACAAGATTCAATCAAATGATCGAAATTCGTTGTTCTTCACTCTTCACTCAAGTGAAACAATCACACATTGATTGCAAGAATGATTATGTGCAACAATTGTTAACGGAAGAAGAAAGAAAATTGAATAAGGAAGAAGATTAGGTTTTGACAAAATATAGAAGAAGATGATGATTTCTGCATAATAACTCTCTGCTCACAAACTTTGAAAAATCTTATTCACTTTGCAACTGCAAAATTATGTGAATTCAAGTTGTTACAATATGTTGCGGTGAGAATCGTGATACCAAGCTATTGAATTAACTTGAATCTTTAATTCTTAAATTCACAACCGGACTTTAATTTATCCAAAGGAAAGGTCTAAAGAAAGAAAAACCCTTTTTGCGATGTAACAACAACGCTAAGAGATTCGGGGATCGGGGGTTGGTTATGCATAGGGTAGGTATTTCACATCCTAAACATTTGTAGTACTCTATAAGAACCTTTTGTTTGCTTGCATGCTAAGTTTGTTAAATGTTTGCTATGGTTTGGGATTGGGTAAAAAGGTGAAGGTTAAAACCTAAAGGCAATTCCTAAGCTTGCTCGCAAAGATGTTGCGTCCTCTGCCTACGTATCCTAACTAGGATAGAATCAGAGCAATCATAGTTCGCCTCACAAGTGATGAAGAACACTTGATTATGATCAAGGTTCAAAGGGGAACAAACATATCCATGCTTGTGTAGAGTTTCACGAAACTCTCTAGATCTATGTTGAACTCTCAAGAAAGGGAAGTAAGTAATCATATCCATGATTCTTACATAGAGTTAACCAAACTTTATCCTAAAGTTCTACATTGTGAGACCAATTGGTTCTATCCAGACCAAAAGGTGGAAGAAGGGAGAAGGTTGCTCGTCAAGATATCGCATCTTGTGCCTACGTATTCTCATTATCCAATGAGAAATCAGAGCGGTCGTAGTTCGGGCACGAACTACAGAATAAGGATCTATTGGTTCTTTCCAGACCAAAAAGAGGGAGAAGGTTCTATCCAGGCCTAATGAGTTAAATCCCATTGGTTCTATCCAGACCAAAAGGGGGGGGGGAGGTTCTATCCAGACCTACGAGGTTAAATCCTATTGGTTCTATCCAGACCAAAAAGAGGAAAGGTTCTATCCAGACCTATGATTGCGTTGAGCTAATCTATGACCCAAGAGTCAATAGAGAGACTTTCCTTTGGAAGGGAAAAGAGGAGGCAACTGGGATGAGAACTAAAGAGTTCCATCACTTGGGGAAGAAAAATACTTAACAAAGCAATAAACAATTAAGCAAGATGAACAAGATATATGGTTACAACCAAACAAGCATGCATATCACAATAGGCAAGGGTTAAATAGAACCAATGGTTACAACCAAGAATCAAATATCTTAACAAAGATGGAAACAATAATCATGCAAGTAAGTCGCAACTTTAAGATGATCATGTTATAAATTCAAAGTGTATCAAATGTAACAACATTTAGGCATTGATGATAATCAAGTACGCGAGGACTGATCACAACAGGTAAATTCAAAACTTTAGGAAGAGGACAATAATTTCATGGTAACCACCAACAAGAAATGGAGTCTCAACATGTTAACAAACATAAAGAAATCAAATACCAATAAATCTCACAAGA